TAAAATTATCAGAGAAGGTCTTCTGAATCCCTCTCTTGGTACTGCTGGCATTTCAACTTGTTTTATAAAGAATTTGATTAGCTGATAGACCGACAAAAGGTCAGGTGTCCTCCACACAGTCACAGGGGAAACACCATGAGAGAAACGTTCTAAGTACCATGGCAAACATATAGAGGTGATTTTATGAGAAGGCATATGTGTTTGCTATCCTGTTCAGTGAAGGTCAACAGATACAGTGTCTTGAGGGGCTGAGTGAAGTAGCCTGTAGCAAACCTTATAGAGCTGTCAAAAAAGGAGAGTTTATATTTTAAAGTATAGTGATGAAACATGACATTCAAAATAACAGATAATAGGGAGTTACACAGCCTGGAAGCTTTCATCTGATCTGAATCAGATTTCGCTTATTTTCAGTACTTCAGTGAGGTGCTGAGTGCCAGGACATGGACGATACCAAATGTGGCACACAAAAAGCTGTGTAACGCGGGTCTCCTGGCGTTCAGGCTGCCAGGGGCAACTGTGGCAGTGCAGGAAAGACCAGATTGCATTTGGCTTGTGATGCTCTCAGCTCCCACCAAGAACCTGGTATTTATGGGTGATATTGCACCCAGCGTCAAATCTTGTCACCGTGCTGTTTATCAGTGGTTGCATCCTAGGGAACAGGAGAGGAAGGGGGGAAAAGCTGCATTCAACCTCTCAGCAAAATATGAAAAGTATCTTGCAGGCTTAATTTGGAAGGAACAGCAATCTCCAAATTTTTGTGGACATGAACACAACTAACCTTGAACAAGTGTGTGACATCTCAGCTGTTTTCATGCCATTTACTGAAATGGAAGAGCAGCTGGGAGGATCTCTTTTGTCTTTTAAATTAGACAAAAACAAAATTCAGAAGTGGAGAGTTTCTTCTCAGTGTGTTAACGGCACTCAGAAGCATCTGAATATCCATTTCTTGTTTCTCAGATAATTGCTAATCCAATTCCTAGTTGCATTCTTTTCTTTAAAATTAAACAAGAGGGCATCATAAAACTGTGATGTTGCTTTGCCAGCAAAATATAAGAAGGTTTTCAGTTTCTGGCCATAAATGAGAACATACAGGAGATAGGAGATTTTGATTAAAACCCAGTGAAAGAAGTTTGGACTTTAGGACTTTTATTAAACTGTCTTGTCAAAAAGGATAACGTAATGAGGGACATTTTTGTTGTTGGATCAGTTTAAGCACTTTTTGCACTGCCAGGGTCGTGGGCCATGAATCTGGTTTCGGTTCCATCAGCTTTATCCTAGTGTTACTTTGTTGACTTAACTGGCATCATTTCTGATTTACATTATCGTAAGTGAGACCAAGAATCACTTTCTTTGCCTTCAGGAAACAGAATAGCCATTAGGGGAAATACAGGACTGTACTTGTTAAAACTACCCAGTGTTTTGTTTTGAATACAAGAAAACGTAGCAGGTTTCTGCAGGTGTTTCTGAAGAGTTAGCAGAATATACTGTGTCACTCCCTCAGATGTAATGGTCTTAATCACGGTGTATGGCTCTCCTAGCTGCCACAGGACATTTAATATGTTGGAAAAGGTGTCTCTGTTCCCCTGTAAAAGCCGAATATGCTTTTACAGCCATTACCCATAATGCAGTGGGAGAACGGTGTTAATAACCGTTTCATCGGAGCTGCAGAAATCTTTTGCACCTCTCCAGGGAAGAAGTAACTTTTTCTTCCGTAAGTGGTCAAAGTGTTACCTTTGGAAGCATTTGCTCTTGGGATCTAAACGCTTTCTTGCTCTCATAACCTGCACTACCTAATTGTTCTCCAGGGGAGCAAAAGTAGGTTGGTGGGTTGGGTTTTGGCTTATAATTGTTTCTGGCCTTGTTTGAACATTTGAAGGCTGTAGGTATGCACAGTACTCAAAGAGGGAAAATGGCAGTCATGGGTATTTAATGGGAGCAGTGGGAACTGTGAAGTCTCAAGGAAAATCTCAGGAAGGAACATACAAAGACTCCCTAGACCTGTATGAAGAGTCGGAAAGGGTTGGGTGTGCTCCTTCCGTACACATGGTGCAGATGCTCTGCCCTGAACACTATGAAAGGCTGCATGAGGACATGAAACGTTTTGCTGGGCCTGCAAAACCTTTGGAAATGATCAGCCTGTGAAAAAAAGGTGTTTTTTTGTTCTAGAAAATGAAGTGGTCTAGTAAAGTGTTTGTACTACACTGCAAGGCTTTAGTCCACGTACAGGATGTCAGTGTATTTATATCTTTACGTACCTTGATATTGTTAGCTTGCTCTCGATTTGTTCAGAGGAAGCAAAGATTCAAAGGTCAGCAATGAGTGGTTTTGAAAAACCAAGTGGTGACTGTATCTCCCACAAATTTGGAGAGAGGAATCACAGTTCGTGCTATTTTTAAATACTTCCCACATTGTCTTACAGTTTCTTTCGTTCATTCTTCTCCCCTTTCCCTTTAAGAATTTCATTTCGTCTTTATGAAAAGAGTTAGCTGATGCTTATAAATTTTTTTTAAATGTACTTTGATCTCAGACAAAATTTGATGGAATTATTACTATAATAATGCATCATGGGCATTATTTTCAACAGTAACCTCAAGGCAGCTTATTTCTCATTCCCAATGGGAAATAAAGTTGCCTGGCATGAGTAAGAATCAGGTCACTTGGTCTAAATGACTAATTATGGGGTTTACTACTTAGCTTTTGGGTCCCAATTTTGGCCTATAAATGTAGAATAAGTTCTAGATTTAATTAGTAGTAACTTCAATTAGAGGCCTGAGTATCAATTTTACTTAAGTGCATCCCCATTCATGTCAGAAGACACTCCTGATTCACAGCAGTATGAAGGTTATGGAGCTCAGTGTTTTTTTCTGTACCCTATAAATCAGAGAGATGTTCAGGATAACCAGGTCTCCGAGCAGTGGGCTCACACAGCCACGTACAAGCTTAGGGCTGCCGATGAGATTGTGTACACACCCCATTGAGTATGCAAACCATAAAGTACAGGTATTAATTCATATGGTCCCTAGCCAAAATCAACTGAATAACTGCTAATCATTAGGCTTTGGTTCCTATCTGAATATTTCTTTAAAAGCCTTTTTTTTTATTTTTCCCTATTTTTCCCCCTTTCCTTTTTTTTTTTTTTTTTTGTCGGTAGTTTCAGTGCCGCAGCTGTAGGACTGGAAAACAGAACTCTTGAGGTTTTTTTCCCACTTCTTTCACTACTTCAGTCTTGCCTCTACTTACTCTCTTGAACTAAAACTGCGACTTCGATCTAGTCATGGGCGTCTACAGTTAGGAATTTCTGTAAGTTGTCTGATTTACTGAGACTTGTTCTACAGTTCTCAGTTCCTGCCAACCTCAGTGGCCAATCAAGCTGAGAAAATCTGGCTTTGTCTCAGTCTCTTCATCTTTTAGATGACAATATGGGGGCTCATCTACCTCTCAAGAAACGGAGAGACTTCTTAATTATTATCAGTATACTCTGCGATTAAAAGTGGATGTTCCCTAGAACTGTTCCCTTTTGCTGAGGAAATGGAGGACTATGTGGAGGAAATGAGGAAATATTTCAGTGAGGTCAAAGATATCCAACATGTTCTGCAGATTGTCTGTCAAGGTTGAATAGTGAGACTGCATTACGCAGCATGCGCAGGCAGTTCTGTAAACCATGTTCCTATTTAAAAACATTCAAGTGGAACAAACTTAGTTTTTCATGTCACAACCAGGATCATATTCGCATTTCAGCAGTGGGAAGGAAAAGATAAAAGACTTAATTCAGCTTTCACCATGCTGGAGATTTTCTCTGGCTCCACCTCTGCCCCTTCCTCTGTCCTCATTCCCAGTGTTTTTGAACTCTGCCTGCAATGTATTTCAGTGCTTGCCAAGATATCCCCAACTAAGGGTGAGTTAATGAGAACATCTGGCCAGGAATGAGGGATGATGCTCTGTGACCCACCCACTCAGCACATCTGGTGGTCGTGGCCGTGGATGCAGAAACCTTACTGAGTGTTAAGGCTTCTGCAAGGAAAGATGATTTTGTCATCTATGGCTGGTTTTATTGAAAATACCCAAATCCAATTGGCTAGATAAAGGGGCTTTCATGTGAATGGGAGAAATGTCTATAAATAAGTGTGTACAACACACACACACACACACATATATACCCCTTTTTATATAATTACAGTATACATATACTGTATATATATACAGTATATATATATAAGAATGTGGACGGCCTAAAAACTGTCTTTATAGATAATTAGTCCCAAAGGTCCTAAACTAGTTAACCATCAGGGCATACTGCAAAAGACCTCTCTTTGGTAAGAGCTTTCTGAAGGGGCTGAATGTACATTCTCTCTAAAGGGAGGAGAGGATGAAAAGAGTTTATGTGCTCGGTTGGTGGAGTTCCTTTTTGAAATGATGGTTTTAAAAATGCTGGATTATTTTTGTCCTTCTAATGATGAATTAAGGTGTCCAGACACTTTTGCGAGCATCTTTTTATATTATTTATATGTAAATCAATAAATACCAGTGCTCTGCTCTTGCTTTCCTTTGCTGGTAAAAAAAAAAAATAAAAAAAAAAAGAAGATGGATTTTTCAGACAGCACAATGAATCATCAATGAAGTGAAAACACTGGGCAAATTCTCTTTTGTTTAAGAGAATGGCCTGTACACAGTTCAGGCCAGCACATTTTTCATGGGATGCAAGGGAGCAGTTCAAAGAATTGGCAGGGAGTGGGTCCTGCATATTCATGAGGCTGGGCAGGGAGCTGAAGGTACAGGAGAAGGCAGAAAAGCTATGTGAGGATAGAGTGGAATGTGGAGCGAGTTGCCACGGTATCCTATTTTACTGCTGTTTGACGTAAAGCTCCTTTGCTTTTACACAACCGCTGGAATTGAATGGAAGCAGCTCAGGGCATAAATAATGAATGCGTCTTTTACACGTTAAAGCGAGGAGAATCTGTACCTCATCACAGAGATAATGTGCCCCTCTCTTCTCTCCCCAGTCTCCAGCCTGCGTTCCTGAAGTCAGTCGAGATCTTATCCAACAGACAGAGGAGAAACTCGAAAACAGCCCCTGCAAAGAGCTATTCTCTCACTGCACAAAGTAAGTATAACACGATACCCAAAGATCGCAGGGCTGCAGTCAGCAACTTGTAAGGAATGTGTCAGGTAAAGAGAGGCGTTTCAATTTGAACCTGAGGCGTGTATCTTCGGCTTATGTTCATAATCCTAGCGGCACCGCTGACAAGCGGTGAAGTTATTTCATCTGAACAAAATATAATAAATATTTCCATGCCATTATATACACTACACACAGGCACTTAGTGTTTCAGGTATTTGACAGAGTGTTCCAGCCAAGTAAACCAGCCATGGATTTCATGCTGTGTGAAAAGAGCTACAATGATAATGTATCCAAAGAAAACATCTCTGTTTCAAACTGAATAAAAATTAAGTGGCTATACAGTCCATTTAGACAGAGGAATGTGCAAACTTGCTCCGCATGGCTTTTCCAGAAAATCTTCACCAGGAGAATGGGGCTTTTTTAATGCTTTCTGTCTGTCTGTGGCATTCAAACAAACGTGCATTATTTCATCCTTTTGTCTGGGAAAAGGCTTATCAGTTTTTGTAGCGGCGAGGCTATTTGTACTATTATGCGCTAAAGCTCCAGGTATGCAATCTGCATTTGCAAACACTGACCCGAGTACGTTCACGCCAGTAGATCATAAACCAATAAAAATATGAAAAGGAGGGATCATCGCAAGCTGGCCCATGTGGTTTCTGGCCGAGCACGGTTTGTTTTCCCTGGATGATGTAATGGGGATTTGTAAAATTCGCTCCGCTGTCATTCATTGTTTTGACTCATTTCATTGACCTTTTCTGTTTTCAGTTATTCTTTGCGTTGGTAGGAGATGTGGGTTATTTCTGGCCTTCTCTTATAACATAGCCAGTTTCCTTGCATTGGCCTGGTGTCATGTAGAGATGCTCGTATAACTCGCACCAGTTGTGTGTGCCAGTCCCAATGACAAAGGCAGAGCTGTGCTCGACACAAACCCCCCAATGCCTGTTTCCAGTTCTCAAATCGGTTTGAAAGCTGACAGTTCCCTCTAAAATGCACTTTGTTATTGCCAAAGAGGGGAACTAAAAAGCAAACAACTGCTGAAAGGCAGCTATTGTTCTTTAAAATACGTGCAGCTTTTAATTAACTGAATGGAATAGGCTAGCATTGGACACCACTTAATTCGGGCTCGTATTCACCGACAGCCATTCCTTCGTCTCAGCTGAAACAGATAAATGAGCCAGGTTTGAGACCTTCTTAATAAATATGCTGATCATTTCACATGGACTGAAATGGGGTCAAAAGGAAGTTTTAAAAACTTGCTGTTGGTATTTACTAAATGTACTGAATAATGTTAATTTTGGAAGAGTTCACAGTCAGACCAAAAAAGGGAGGCATACATACAAATATAAAGCTTGCTGTCCTGTATCAAAGATAAGATCAGTCTGCAGGAGAAATCCACGTGTAACTCTAACTTCTGCTTTGACCTTTAGTATTTCGATGGTCTGCTCCTGCCCCCCTCCAATTTCCCATATAATTTTGGCTTTGAATTTGGATATTGTTAAAGCTCATTAAGACTTAATTTTTATTTTATTTTGTAATCTTGAATGCACTTAAAGGAAACTGTATGGTCTGTGTCCAATCACAGCTAATGAAGAAAACAACAATTTGATTTCTGAATACTGAATATTACCTGCCTGTTCCAAACTGATTACCAAAAAAAAATCAAACAGCTGAGAAATTCCAAAAACTTATGAATATTAGCTCATGAACAGGGAGGAACTTAATTGACAAGACACGTTATTCATGGTGAATTGTTTGCTCAGATCTAGAACTGCCCCAGGGTAAGACATAGATTATCCATTCCCAAACCGGAGTAGTCCTTCAGAGAGGATTTCCTCCTCCAGCAAGATCTAGAAATGTGTCTGTATATCCTTAAACACAGACACAAAAGTGTCTGTATACACCAAGACAGAATTGCTCATTTCTTGGGGGCATTTTTCACCCCAAACCAAGTTTTGTCCCACCAATGCTGCCAGCAGAAGTAGATACAGTAGCCCCAGCAAGCAAGGCAAGAACCAAAACCAGCAGGTCAACAACCCCCTGTTAAACAACATGACCACCGTCACCTCAGGCAGCTCTCTCAGCTCAGTCCATCTTTTCTTAGCTCTGAACCCTTGGCCTTCCTTATGGGATGTCTGTTGGTCTCTGGCTGCTTGTTGTCTGCCACAAGCAACGTACTTATTTCGCACATTTGCAGACTGGCCTTTTTATTCCTTTATTCCTTTGATTATGCAAAAGACTTTGCATCCACTGTGTAAGCCCCCAAATTCTTTTCTTAATCCATAAACAAATCCACATCCCTGTTCAGACTTTCTTCCCTCTGTTTTGCTCTACAAAGCACAGAGCTGTTAGGAAAAGCCGTTTGACTTTAATCACAGTTATTACTTCTTCTAGCATAGCAGTCATTGAAATTGATTGATTTTTTTCTCCAAATAATACCTCTGATGATCCCTCTTTGACAGAAATGGGCTTCAGCCAGAAATTTTCAATCCAGATGTAAACATCCCCCAAAGTTTAGGAGCTCAGTTCCTGAGGGTGTTGTGTTAATTTACTAACAGAAGCAAATACATTTGTTGTCTAGTGACTAACAGCCTTTGCAAAAGTCCATTGAAGCCAGTGGGAGACACCCTGTTAGTTTTCAGCAAGCAAACCCAGTACATATTACTATTCAGCTTGTATAAGGCCTCCTGTTATGAAATACATCAAACATATCCCTTTGTTCCTAGATTGAAACCGTGCGTAAAATGAAGTACAAAATAAAGTAGAAGTAAATTCATAGAATCATAGAATACCAGGTTGGAAGGGACCTACCTCAAGGATCATCTGGTCCAACCCTTCTTGGCAAATCCTACCATGCAAGAAGTCTGGATTTTCTCCTCTTGTTTTGTTTCTCTTTTGCTCCAAGTTCAGGACTATAAAATGCTTATATATCCTTTTCATCTGAGATAGATCTGTCCTTGACCACCTCAGTGGGGAACCATTCCAAGAATACCTAAACAGCATGTACTTCGACAGGTTTCTCCAGTGGAAGTGGCTGGAAAGGTAAGTGTCACTATTTGTATTTTTTTTTAAATGAAAAATTAATACAAAAGGTTTATTTTCATTTTCCATGCAAAGCCTTTAGAATATGGTCAAAATCTAACAGCTGAGATAGTGCATTTGCTCCCTTTGCCTTCAAGATAAAGACAGTTCGGGCTTTCTTCAGCACTACTGTGCCTCATCCCGATGTTTGCCGTTTATGGCCCTCTCTGTGCAACTATTCCCTTGCTCTTTTCTCTGTTATCCTTCAAGAAGGTCCATGAAGACTCATTCCCCATTTCCCTGAGCTGTACTCCAGGGAAGCTCTCCCAGAGAGCTCCAAGAAGGCTGTCCTAATTTTAGCATTTGTTTGGAAGTGTTCGTTGTCCGAAGGTTCACAAAGAGGTAACGACTTTAGCCACAGGAAGATACCATATAGAAAAGTCATGGTTATGTTGGCATTAGACTTGATTTAACCATGAGCTGACCAGCTGTGACCATCCAGTGAGGACAATTGGTGTCTGGGATATTATAGTGCTCCTTCATCATCCATGCATGTGCTTACACCCATAAATACTCTCCAGCCGCTCCCTTCCCTCTCAGAGACACCACAGTCCTGAAGGTGACTTGGGTACCTATTTTGCACAGTATGCTTGTGCACAGCAAGTGAATAGGGCAAGACCGACGGCCTATAAAAAATAGGAATCCAAATCTCTTGCGGTCTGAGGAACGTCTGTGGCCAGTTTCACTGTAGGCGTTGTCACAATGAACGAACTCATGGCACAGCTTGAAGGACACATTGCACTTTTTTATAACCTACCCTTGTGCATCTAGAACGCTAAACCTAAGACACACATGGAGTCTCTGGCTTTTGCATTTGCAAACACTGTGCCCAAGCAAGACTGAAACAGATGCTGCTCACTGGGGAAGTAAAGAATAAAACAGAAATCCACCCCAAAACACCAGGGGTTTGGCTTCTAAAGCTCTATTGTTCAGCCATTTAATGGTATTAGGTACATTAGGCACATTAGGTATAATTAAAGTACTTCAGAAACTTCAGTTGTCTTTCTGTTTAGCTACAACCTGAATATGGTGACTTTTTGTCAGGACCAGTTATCACAATTATTAAATCACTGTAAACAGACAAAAATATGGCATATAGGTAGGTCCTCGCACCATATTTATTGGCTAGACATTTCTGAGCACATTTAATAACCAGGCACCCTTAGTGGGTATTAATTTGCAAGGAAAGGCGCCTTTGCCTTCTCCTTGTAGGTGAGGACTGCAGCAGACGCGCACTGCTGGGTAACAGTGACCTTGAGTTGAGAGAAGCCCCAGTTTCCACAAATGGAATTAATTACGGCAGATGAGTTAGGGCCAGTTTCATGAGCGGTGTGTGTCAGCGTGGTGCCTCGGAGATCAAAGGAGCTGTGCCAGTTCCTCTCCCTGGAAAGCTACAAAGCTGCTGTACAAGAGGGAAGGGAAGCAGTGGGCAGAGAGGAGAGCCATTTCATGCCAAGACATGCTCCACATGCCATCTTTACTGAATCCAGCATTTACTCTTCCATTTCAATTAAAAAACAACTGATGATTCATCTCCAGCCAGGCTATTTCCTATCTGTTTTCACATTTGGGCTGAGGAATTTTCTCAAATGCTTTGAGGATTTGTTTTTTTCCATTCCCCCAACAAACGTGACAATCTATTGGATGTGCCTATCCGGCTTAAGAAGCTGGGGGAACTGTTTTTAGGATTAGCAAAGAGATGTTAGTAGCACGGAGTGATCAGCAGCTCCTTCTGACAGCTTGCTGGCTCCAACGGAGGAGTCAAACAGTCCATTTATTCCAGGGACATTGCTGAGCGTGTCGTTATCACTGCTAATTGTTGCTTTTAACCCCAATAGCATTTGCAGTATGTTCATAGAAGCCTGAAAATAGCATCTTTTCCTCTTCTTGTTTTGGACTTCTGCGTATTTTTCTTCCCCTACTTTTAAAAACAATAATGAAATAAATGAAACGATTCACTTTAACATTTATTCCTCATTGTCATCAACCTCATCATCACTGTTGTGGGAACAGCCACGTTATTGTGCTCCCTCTGCCGGCTGGCTGCCCGCCAGAGAAAAACAAAGCTGGGAGGAATATTCATATCGGCGGCTAATGTAATTGTAAAACTTTGGTGATGGAGCAGAGGATACAAAATTGGATCTTGCTGAATCTAGCGTTCTTCTTCTGTCATGTTACAAACGTTCATGGTAACAAATTATAAGTTAGATGTAGGGCTGGAGCCGTTTTGGTAGAGCAGAATTTTGTGGGAATCATTTAAGATCATATAGCGATCTTGCCTAATGATCATCAGGGAGCACTCTGCCCTCACAAAGACAGACAGACTCATTTAACCCTTAATATGGCCCTTGAAAGGAAAGAGATGCTTTCCCTCCCTTCTTGCCCATGATGCTCTCCCAGGAGGCAGGTACCCCAGGGCCTGGAGTCCGGCTTGCTGCTTTCCCCTCTTGCGAACGGGACCTTCTTCCATTGTTTCACAGCAGTTTCCTGTTTTGTTTAAGGTCAAGAAACCAAAATATTTCCTGGTGGATTGAATTTTGGATCTCTTTTTCTCAGCTTGAAGACCAAGCAAAGCAATAGTGTCAGCTCAGCGCTGCCCTTTAAAAAAATCCCATATATCATGAGAATTAGTATCTTGTTGGAAGCTCTCAGGCCTCCTCTTTGCTTAACAAAGGCCAAAGCTATATAATGGAGATTCAGAACCCTCCTTGGTCCTAAGATGCTAGCAGAAATTATACTGATGACTCACTAATGTGTTGTATTTTATTACAGCTTAATATGTTGGAATTGAAAAGTTCAAGCCATACATAGTATTGAAGTAATGCAATTACATAATTATATATTATATTATATAATATGATTACCTTGAAATAATGTGATTATATAATATTTATCTATTTTGCTTTTCAAAAATATGCTCTGAAATAAATAAATCACAGAGAGTGCATTAAACGTAGTGTGTCTTTTTTATTATTATTATTATTTCCTTTTTCTTCCAGGCAACCAGTAACGAAAAACACGTTTCGGCAGTACAGGGTACTCGGGAAAGGCGGCTTTGGGGAGGTGAGTAATTCTGAAAGTTTCTGTTAAGAGCGTTCCTTACTTCTCAGGCACTGCAGGTGACGGGAGCCTGATGCGACAGAGGCTGAGTTTCATTAATTGCCGACAGCCTTACTTAACCTCTCATGACACTGTAATCTCAAAAGAACACTTCTGAGAATTGTTTTGTATTCGAGTGTTGCATTTGCAGTGGAATCGGGGTCACACCCTTATTTGTGTCTTACTGATGGCTGGAGGTGGCTGCCTCGGCAGCGGAGTCAGAAGGGGAGGACGGGCTTTAGTTGAGCAGATTACAATCAACGCAGACAAAAGGAGGTGGGATAGGAAGCAGGCGGAGGAAAGTGAAATAATTAAACCAATATTACACAGCAGGTTTGGAAACAGTAGTCGGTTCCCCAGCTGCCCCCCCGCCTGTGCCTTATTCGCTACGCCGCCGTCTCTAACCTTAAAAGGACTAAATCGGATCAGATCGTGAGGAGTAAAGTGCCACCCAGCCACAGCGGTTGCTTCGACTTACCCAGCAATTGTTCTCTTTCATTCGCAGGTCTGCGCTTGCCAAGTCCGAGCGACAGGGAAGATGTACGCCTGCAAGAGATTAGAGAAGAAGAGAATAAAAAAGCGGAAAGGCGAATCCATGGCACTAAACGAAAAGCAGATTTTAGAGAAAGTCAATAGTCAGTTTGTAGTGAGTATTGAACTTCCCCCAGCGCTCAGCTGCCTGCTCACCTGCTGAGCACTGTCTCTTGTTGAATCTGATGTCTCTCCCAACTCCTGCTACGGGAGAGATGCCAGAAGCTGGATCCCTTCGCTTTGCACCGTAGTTCTGCTCCATGCACCTTTGCCGAGTCTCATTTTAATCTCTGGTCTGTGAGAAATGCACCAAACAAGGTGCCTGTTTCTGCCATGAGAACACGATGTGTTTCACAGCCTTGGCTTGCATCAGGGCTGCATCAGGGCGAGCTATTTTTATCCAGTGTGATTACCTGAATTCCCAGCGTCTGGGAGAGAGGAACTTGGAGGAGACTGAAGGAGATTCAACCCGAATAGGTCAGAAGAGATTGGCTAGTGGGAACATCTAGCCAGTGACGTGGGGCTGGTCTGCCTGGCGTGGGGCTTTCCTGAGTCATGCCAGCTTTTGTGTCTCTTTAAAAACTTGCCTTAGATTTTTTTGTTTTTAAAAAAAAAGGTGTTATCTCAGCATCTGTTGTGTTCTTTATACTTATTTTGGGAAACACTATGAATACGACAGATGCAAGATGTTTACTTAGCTCTGGCAGAAGCAAAGGCAATGGCGCATGTTTAGAAGTGATGGGTAGCTTTTGGCGTCTCTGATTGTTCCTGGGGCACCCATCAGAGCCTCGCAGGGGTGACGCTGACCTTCACGCCTCAGTGATGGTCCATTTGACCACTGCAGGACTGGGCTATCTGGGCACCCCTCAGAACCTACTGAGATAATGGGTTTTTGACAGCTATCCAGCAAAACAGTGCAGCGGGAGGTGTAGATTGGCTTGATTATTAATATTTCTCTTACGTGGAAAAGCATGCCTGGAGTTAGTATGTTTGTCCAGCCTGTGAAGCTATCTGAGCATTAACCTTGAGGGTTTCTGATGATGAATAGGCTGGATTCAACAAATAAATCTCTAAAATCTTAAAATCTGATTTTTCTCTACTTTTGAAATGTTATGTTTGCTATTGTAATAAGGCCCATAACAAATTCAGTCAATATATTCTTTTCTATATATCTTTGATGAAAAGTTACGGCTTTCTTCTTAGCAGCTGATGGAACTGTCACAACTATGCTACAAATCTTTTTCTAGGTCAATTTAGCCTATGCCTATGAAACAAAGGATGCACTGTGTTTAGTTCTGACCATAATGAATGGAGGTGACCTGAAGTTTCATATCTACAACATGGGAAACCCGGGCTTTGAAGAGGAAAGAGCTTTGTTTTATGCAGCAGAGATTCTTTGTGGCTTAGAAGACCTACACAGAGAAAATACTGTGTACAGGTATGCACTCTCTACAATCTTAGGACATCTTTTCTGGGTAGAAAAGAATTGCCTGCATCCTCCCTACTCATTGGAGTGCTGTGTAGCTTAGATGTCTCTGTGCTTTGGCTGAAATTTTGCAGAGCCCTGTACAAATACAGTATGAGTCAGTAATCATGGAAGGATGCAGTTGCTTCACTAAATACATCCTGTCTGAATTATACAGAACTAACACAAAGCTCCCCAAACCCTACCTCAGCATGCACTGGGTGACACAGAAAATTAGAAAAGTTCCTTTAAAGGGACTTCATTAGGGAATTTAGTTTCTAGTTGGTATGAAATGGAGATCATTCTATTCAAGCCTCTATTTTAATTAGTTAGATTATATTGTGTTACAGGCTGCGGCATGTCAGATGTGGAAAAAACATTGCTCCTATCCCAGAAGGGTGTTTGGATTGGATTTACGCTCTGGGACATGAACTAGTTTGATTAGCTAGATGGGACCATGGTGGTGGCCATAGTCTGCCAGCCGTGGAAGGAGGCACATTCACAGCCGTGCGACGGAGGCGTCCTGCTGGCAGCATCCCACCGGCCGCGGGTGCAGCCAGCGGGCAGAGCGCTGCCCGGCGCGGTGACAGGCAGCCAGCTTCAAGAAGGACAAGTTTCAAGTTCTCAGCTTCCAGTCTGGCTTGCAGCTCAGTACAAACACTTTTCCAGGGCATCAGAGGGTTTACTTGCTGGATAAGCAGACAGAGTTCTTGCGACTCCATGAGGATTTTTTTTTTTTTTTAATCAACGACCAATGTAGTTGTAAACAACATTTAGTGTTTGTCTTCATCATCCCAGCTTGTGAAATCATTATTGCTGGCATTCACAGCAGAAGAGGCCCTGTAAATTGATGAAAGAACTTCCAAGGACAATGATTAATAGACAATAATACATTATTTTTAAACACTAAGCCACATTTTAAATCATTTGATATGCCCATATATAATAAGCATTATACATATACTTGTATAGGTGGAAAGTATGATATTGTTTCTCAGAGGAGATCTCTAGGAAACTGCCACTTAGTTGCCTGACTGTGACTCGGATCTTGCTAGCTGGCACAAGGAGGGCAGGCAGATAACATGCTGCTTTAGTTGGTACTGGCCCAAGAAGGAGATTTTTTTCCCAAGGAACAAAATAGAATTAAGTGTTTAATGTCAATTGAAAAATCAAATAAGGAGTGGCATGTCTGGCTTCCTTTTAAAAAAAAACATTCTAACACATTCAAAAAAGTGTTAGGAGGTATTATAGTGTTTCTTTAAAAAGTACTAGATCACAAGCCTATTTTATTCACGAAAACGACTGGTGCATTCATAACATGGCTGCTAAAATGCCATACTAATGCCACTTTCTAATAAAACAAGTGAGATCTGGCCACCTAAACAGTACGTGGCTCTGAAAGAAATGGCATCCTACTCCCTTTAGCAGTTGTTTTGATGTTCCTCATAAAAGAGTTGCTAGTTTACGCCCTCAGATGGCACATTCATTTTGGTGATGAATGATATTATATCCTTGTAGGTGACGTTTTCTAGCAGTATTTTAGGAGCATCTGCAGAGACCCCTAATTTGTAATACTGCAGCGTGTTTTGGGACCTGTGAGAAGTGCTATATAGGTCAATAAAATATAGCAGCTAAATGCTACCACTTTCTCAAGGTGAATAATTCATCACAAAACACTTATTCCTCAGACTTAATTTCATTTTGTATGAGCAAAATGCTTCTGAGTTAAACACAGCATCTTAAAATACATCCCCATCTCATGGGCCGGTGACATGTGCTGTGGACGTGACCCGAGAGAACAACCAGGCTCAGAGTCAGATTTATCTAATTCAGAATTCCCTTGCTAAACATGGCGCTTACCTTACATTTCTCAACTGCATTACATTAGTAAAGGTCAACAGGTCGATTGTTTGTGGAAAGCAAACATAAAAAGCTGCTGGTTCTCCTCGAATTATATGCATATAAATATACATTAAAATTTTTATTTATGTGTGTATATTATATAAAATATATATGAATTATTTATATGTATACTATAGTCATGTGTGGAAGCTGCAGGCAGCATGAAGATCATATTGTCTTAAGCATTACACAAACATACAATAAAGCCTTGTCCCCTATGACTAATTGAGTTGTTTATGCTGTCCTGTACAGCCAAACAATGTACCATCGCCTTTCCAGCATGGGCTCAGTGCCAGCAGTTTATGTTCCAGTATATTAAGGCAAGGCTAGTTTGCATATGGGAAGCTATACCATCGGGAAATACCTTTACATGTGTCATGGTTTGGGCTGGACTGGCCACTGAAACTAACTGTGTCCACCAGGAAGTTTTATTTCTCCTAAGACATTTTGGTACAAAAATCACTTCCAAGTGTCCTCCTTGGCACTTGGAAGTGTTGGCCCCGCAAAGGAAGCCAGACTTAATCCTGAGGAACCAGAAATCTGAAAACAGAAATGACAACTGACATCTTGGGTGAAGGAAAGACTGCCCTAATTGCCCTAATTCGCAGAGGACTGTAAAGACCAAACTGCAGTTCTCAGAGTCCTCGTGGACTCTCATTTTCTCCTTCAAAGACAACATTTCCCAACTTGCATGCAGGATTCTTGTCATTTGGCCACAGTTACAGCTTTAAGTGGGACTAATAACTGCTGGAGTGGGAGACGAAGCAAGTAATGAACTTTGAGTTCTTCAAGGAAATAGTTCTTAAGGGATTCTGAATAAATTTTTAAAAATAAATAGGAAATGCCCGTGACTCTGCTGCTCCAGCATTGGAAACCTTCTGCTGATAGGCAAGGAAAGCCCATGGTGGTATACTAAACAAAATCACAGCTTCTCCTCTGCATTCAGCCGCCCTTCACATATTTCAGTATTGTTTGTTTGAAAAGTAGGCTTGGTACCACGGGGTACACAGCGAAGTTTATCTTGAGAGGTCAAGAGGGTCTGAAGCAAGCAAGAAGAGGAGATTATTCACAGCGCTCTATGTTCTCGCTTGAAATAATAAATAAAAATGAGACAAGTTTTGAAATTTTAGTCTCAGCATTGTCAAAAGTATAAAACACCCCTCTCCGCTCACAGGAAAATCCACGACAGCTTGAAAGGCAGGGCGGGCTCCTGCACAGGCTCTGTGCAATGCACTGGTCTCCTGGCGCGAGGGTTTCTCTTGTACGCCCCCCTCTCTTTGCGCTTTGAAAAGAAACGCGTCTTGCTGGGAAGCTAACAGGATCAAGCTGGTTCACAAATGCAAGGAGGCGTTGAAAAAAAGAGGAGGCCAAGCACTTCTTGGATTTGCACCAGGCTAAACGTTGTGTTTCGGTAGGAGTTGATCAGATAAAAGTCAGGGCATGATGTTGGGAATGGCAGCAATACGTTTTTTCCTGCCTCATCCAGCCGTGCTCATGCCTTATTCGGGCTCCTGAGCCAGCACAGCCTGCTCCCGGCGCGCAGCCCTTCTGGGATGCTCCCTGCCCAGCACGTCCCCATCTTCCCTCTGACACCTCCCGGTCCCATCCCACAAAGGCTGGCTTCCTTCCCGCTCTGCACTCGCCCTGCTCAGCGGCACAGGGAGGACCGACGGTAGCCCACCGCATCCAGGAACGGCAGCGGCGGCTGCAAAGCTGTGCTCAGCTCCGCAGCTTTGGAAAACAGCCTTGGTCAAACGAGGGGACTTGAGCATGGCTGGCCTGGGCAGCATCTGGAAGCCACAACTGGTGGAGCGGGTTTGGTGCAGACAAACCTTTTGGAAGAATGACCTGCCAAGGCTCTGCTAAATGTATGAAAACTGAGGTTATTTTTTTTTTTTTCAGAAGTTTATAACTTGGCCAGATTTGGGAAAATTTTTTTCACAAGAGCAGTAAAAGGCACATCTTTGACATCAGAGTGACCACCTTGCCAATTTTCATGGCGTTGCTCCAAACCACACAGGCACTAGAGTTTCACAAATGTTTGTAAGAAAAATCTTAGACTGGGCACAGCATTCCTCCCCTCTGCCCCTCATTTTCCAAACTCGCTGAAATTATTACACAGGTGCACAAGTGCACGTACAAACATTCACATATTTGGTCTGAGTCAGATGCCAGGCATAGAAAATTTGAGCCCAACAGATTGCTATTTCATACGCAAACAAAATATTTTCAAATGTAAAATAATTTTCTTTTTAACAAAAGATTTTATGACAGAAAATGTTACAGAGATTGAACAACACACAGGACTGCAGGGCTTGATTTACAGGGCTTACTGGACTAGATGGATGAGTCTATTATAGAGTGGATTAGGAACTAAAAGCTTGGCTTAGTGAAAAAATGTAACTCCGGCATAGAAAAAGGCATATGGTTTCAGTCTCTCTGTGAAGTGAGTTGTAGAAAGTTGTGTTGGTTTCATGAGTTCCTTGCTGTTTGAGTTGACACTCGGTTGGTTTATTACTAGTAATAAACGCGCTTACACACTGTCGTATGGTTATGTTATCAAAACCGGCTTCATACAAGTAACTGCTATCTTTCCTTTTCAGAGATTTGAAGCCAGAAAATATCCTGCTAGATGATTATGGTAAGTCTTAGAGGTTTACAGAGATGCTTTCTCAGTAAAGTAGATTAAGTTAGTTTTAGGATATATATTGCACAAAGAGAAATAATGCTCTGAAGTGACTAAGAAGCTCAGCATACACTAATGCTCCTGTCTTAGGGTGGGTGAAGTGCTGGAGCTCACAGCACGGGTGGAATGAAGCAGCCGTGCTGCTCAGCAGGGTCTCTTCTCGAGAGCGCGGCTCTGCTGGGGGTGTCTGCCTTTTCCCATTGTTTTTCCACCCTTATTGTTGCAAAGCTGACACAACACAAAGGCAGTTGTGATTTCAAAATCTCTGCTTCCCGCTCCGTTTTCAACAGCACTTTCATCCTTTGCTGAGCCAACTCTCATTTTATGCAAACCCAGGTACCCGTTTGTTGCTGAAGGCAGCGATAATCAAATCTCATGCTGACTTACAGACCAGATGTAGCCCCTTCAGCCATCAGAGAGTTCAGGAATTATGTCAGCCCATCCATCATCCCCTGCGATCAGTTCAAGATACTTCCTTACAGCATGTTTCTCATTGCCTTTTTTTGGTTGGTTTAAAAAAAACTAACACAGTCCACTCTGGTCCGCAGCCTCACTGTTAAAATTAATTTCACTGCATTGTAATGCCCTTAATAATTCCTCTTTTCCTTATCAATGAAACTGCTCCAGTTCAGCGATTCAGAACACTCTTTTCTTAAAATGTCTGAACAGTAAATTGCAAGAGTATTGTAGCAATGACAACAGTTGTGGTTTTGCACTAATTTGGGTCATATTATTATATCTGCTTTGTGCTGTTTTGTTTCTTTATTCCTTCCAGGCCATATTAGAATATCTGATTTGGGTCTAGCTGTTAAAATCCCTGAGGGTGAATCAATCCGTGGAAGAGTAGGAACAGTAGGGTATATGGGTAAGTCTTCAGTAGCTTATCTTTTTGATAATTTGCTGAGATTACTTGAGTTTTTGAGATCTTTCTGCCATGTAGGCTTAAGGAAAAATAAAAAAGATTCACCTTCAGCTGGGTCCAGTTCCCTGCAACAACCCACCATGGAGCCATGCTAGTGGAAATCAGAAGTGGACGAAAGGATGAACCACAGCAGCTCTTAATGAGACTGGTCTATAATCTTAAATCAGCAAAGAAAATTATAAGAAAAGGCAACAACTGGGATACTAGTGATTTTAGCATAGATTTATTTTAGGAGGCTTATATGCATAAAAGAAAGGTTTCTTTCTAGTTGCTACTTTTTATAATAGTTAAAATATATTTGTATGTTTATGATAAAATGGGTAAGTCTGCACCTATGGTCATCTTGACCACAGTCATATTGCGTCTTCCCCTATGTGCAGGGGAGGCTGCACGTAAGAAGAGTAGAGATTTGTACATTCATAAAAAACACACTCCCTGATTTAACTAGATCTGTTTTCTAAATTCAGTGTAATTATTTTCATGCATTCTCTGGGTGGGTATATTTCTTGGAATGAAAATTGCTTATGCTGATTTGACTAAACAGAAACTAGCTGATATGAGCCCCTGTTATACCATATGGAGACTTTATTAAAGCAAACAAATCAGTTGTCATTTCTAAATTTTGTTATCTCAGTGCAAGTTTGTGCGCACACCAAGGCTCTGTGCTTGTGAGCACGTGTGTATGTGTGTTTGTACCCATGTACAGAAGTGAGGACACACGCAAGACAGTGACTATATGCCCAAAGGACACTGGGTGGTTGCAACACAAAATAAATGGATCTGTTTTTTAAGGGGGGGGGAATAAGTTATAAATTGAGCAAAAAGACAGAATTTGCTTTTGAAGAAAATGTCACTGCTGTTTACAGGATGTGTGTTTGTATGTCATTTCTTCCCTAAATGGAGAAATCTGGAAGGACTCTTAAGATTAGGCCTCTGCTTAATACTTAGTTTCAACTTAGTGATTTTTTAATCAGTCTGACTCGGTAGAGAAGTCAGAAGACAGCATGCACATGGCATGTAG